AGAATCCAATTATGTTTTTAATGCAGCATTTTGTTATAAAACACAATATTTTTTATTTTAAAAATCTTACAATATTTTAGTGTGAAATGACATTGTGTTTTTATATACGGTTAACAATTTAAATTCTTTAATGTAGAATTTTGGTGACTTTTTTTTTTACTGTAGAATTACATGCATTTTTTAAATAATATTTTCTCACTTATGGTAACCCATTACATTTTTTAATGATTTGCTTTTTGTTGACTATAATATTGTAGGAGTACAAAGAAATATAATGTAAAATTACATCCATTGCATTTTTAAATATAATATTTCTCACTTATAGTTAACCAGTTAAATTGTTAATGTAGCATTTTGGTGACTATATTTTTAATACTACTAATAAAAGAATATAAATGAGCTTTATCGTTGTTTGTAGTAAGGAATAAAGCTGACTCTTACTGCATGTTTAATGGTATTTTATTTGATGATTTGTTAATGTGTCATGACGTTACTTTGAGGGGCCCATCATTACTAACTCATTATTAACTACCCATAAACTAACACCTACTCATGGCTTATTAATACATTATTTTGACATGACTTTACTTGAGAGGGCCCATAATAATTAACTCATTTTTAACTAGTGTACCACTTACCTGCATGTTTCTAGTTTGGCCATTTCTTTAGGAATCGTTGATTATAACAACGCTGAAGATGTCAGAAGCTCAAATCGTGATATTAAATTATGTATTTCTCATTCCTTCTGAAAAGAGGCTGTTTGATTTAGTTTACCCATACATGTTAACTAATGCATTAACTATCAAACATGTAGTTAAGGCTGCCGTTATTCATGCGTGAATCCGTAGTTAAGGATAGCTCTTCACTAGTTTGTGATTAGTTAACAACACCTTTAATAATCATTCGTTTATGATGAAGTAAGTATTAATTGAGGCATTAGTACATGATTATTGTAAAGTGTTACCTATAAGTGAAAAGTATTATTTTTTAGAAACACACTGCATGCAATTCTACAGTAAAATATTGTTAAAAAGTATTTTTGAACAAAAAACGATATTATAAAAATATTTAAAAACACAATGTAATTTTACACTAACATATTGAAATATTGTATGTTTTGTTTTAATATATATAATTAATAATTTTTTTCGTGTAAAACTACATCCATTGTGTTTTTACTTATTTTTTTATTTAAGCATTTTGGTACATACTACATATAGTTATTTTTTACTGCATAATTACATGCTTTTTTTCAACCATAACATGGTTATTTCACTTATAGTTAATCAACAAAATTTTTAATGTAGGGCATTTTGGTGACTATATTTTTTATACTTAGCCTTTTTTAAAACAATATTTTAGTGTAGAATTACACACATTGTGTTTTTAAACTAAGCATTGACATTATGAAAGTGAAAACACGTTATATATTATAATAACTAAATTGTTCAAAAAATATATATATTTATAAAAATATGAATTAATAATATAAATTATAAAGCAATTTAATGAAAGTGATAAATGGATACATAATTAATAATAGATGTAGCATGGGCATATTACATTAAATTTAATTTAATAATAATTAATTAAATAAATAATTAATTAATAATAATTTAATTTTAATTTAATAATAAATGTAGCATGGGCATATTACATTAAATTTAATTTAATAATAATTAATTAAATAAATAATTAATTAATAATAATTTAATTTTAATTTAATAATAAATGTAGCATGGGCATATTACATTAAATTTAATTTAATAATAATTAATTAAATAAACAAATAAATAAATAATTAGTAATAATTTAATTTTAATT